GGAATAGAACAGCGAGAAGATTCGGTTTGTCAAATTAAAATATAGTAAGAACAGATCAGTAACTACAAATTAGATCATAATTCTTATATATTTAAAAAAAACTAACACAGTTTTTTTCAAAGATTGGATGCAAACTATTGGTCCTTCAACAGACCAGGAAGCAGAGTTCTCGTCTCCATCAGAAACCGCACATATGCTGGATGCTGATGGGGATTTTTTAAAAATGTCATATTAAATTAAGCGTTAAGTCTGAGCGAGCAAAACAGGAGGAACAGCGGAGGCTGTAGGCTTTGCTTTGCAGGAGGTCTGGAGCGCTGCGGGGCGGAGCAGAGGATGTGGGATTTCGGGGTAACAGGAGAAGCACCGCAAGTAACTTTTAGACACTGTCCTCAGACAACATGCAGTAATTTATAATTGTTTTAAATTAGGTTGGGTCCGGATTAGCCAGCAGGTGGGTCCGGACCGTGGTCTGCTAATCCGTGACCTTTGCCTTATAGTGTCACCTCCAACTTTCATTACAAAGTTACACCCTTGGTTTAATCATTGAATTTTGCTATACATTGGATTGGGAGATTTGGTTGACTTGATTTGTGCTAATGGAATTGTTTATCTATTTAAAGACCTCTGTGACACTAGTGCCATTTGTTTGGGGTAATCAGACAAGAAATGAGCAGAAGGGTAAATGTTCAGAGGTTTGGAAAGGTCCTACACCACACGGTGCAGATTTATAGAGATAAACGTTTTCTTGTCATTGGTTAGATCTGGAGCATTATTGACCAAAACAAGCTGTTTTCACAAGGGGAATTAATATATTGGTTTCACAAGGTTTGTGCCACCTTTTTCATTTATTTTATTGCTCCTAAAATGTCACACACATTATTAAGGCTAATCCTTATTTATCTTTTTTCTCCTTCTTTCTCAGTATCTCTCTTTTAGTATTTTGATAGGCTTATTTGAATACTTAAGACTAATGATGATAAGAGAATATTTTTACTGTCTGCCAAGCATATGGAGCAGAGTTTTTGGGTGTTTTCTTCTCAACCTTCACAGAAATGTCCTCCTCCAACCATCCAAGGATCTTTGATGGCTCATTCTAGTTTCTTTGTCTCTCTGTCATATATTCAGCCTGGCCTATTGTCAATCCATCTGCTTCTCTCTTATTTACCCCCACCGTCCTTCATCCTTCGCACACCAGAGATAATAGCAGAGCTGATGTCACCGTTGCCATGGCAGCGATTTGAAAACTTGGCTGTTGGAAGCAACTTGGACCTCCTGGTTGCCAGCTTTATAAAGAGGAAACAATGGCCAGCATAGTTACAGTCCTCAGATGGTTGAATAGGGTTGATTTTATGAGACATTACATGATTTTTGAGATAGTAAAAAAACTAAACATTGGAGTATTTTGGAAAGAAGGAAGAAAGAAGGCAGGTTTGTTTTGTCACATGGAATAAATATTTATAACTTTAGTTAAATTTAGTAATTCACTGTTTTGTATAAAAAACATTTAAGTTTCTCTTAAATATGCACTAGTCAGAATTAAAAATTTAATTGGTTATATCAGTTACATGGTTGAAAACATTCTGCAGGCAATGACAGCCTAAAGACTTGAAGTTCTTCTTCTTATTACTCTGCAAAGCCTTTTTTGCAGTGGTTTTCAGTCGCTGTTTGTTTGTGCCTTTCTGCCTGAAGTTGAGTCGATAAAAAGTAAAATTGAAGCTTAATTTGACTTAAATCAGACAACCGACTTTACTGTTCAAGAATATTTCATGTCCGTGCTCCTGGGTTGCTGAGCTGAACATTTTAGGTCATCAGTATGATAAATCCCCAAATCAATTTGACATTATTCAGCTGGATTTGAGCAGACGGTATGTCTCTGAATAACTCGCAAAGGTTCTTAAAAAAAGGATAAAAGGAGAAATCAAGAAAAACCGCAGCCAGTTTACTTTTAAGTTTAAGACCTGATGACAAGAAAACTGATTGATCAAACAATATTCTTTGCATCATCAGTGCTATTCTGCTATAATCTCTGCACATATTACATGAAAATTGTCATTTTACAGTTAATTGTCTGAAATGCAGGACTATAGAATTGGGGTGATGTGCTCCACTTTCTTAGTTTTAGTGAGGATGCTGGCAGCAGCATTTTGGATAAACAGCAGCTGTCTGATCAATAAAAAAAACAGATCAGGAAAATATTAGAAGCTTAGACTTAGACCATTTTTATTGTCGTTTTGTTTACACAGAGTGTATAAAAACAAAATTTCATTTAGTACAACTTTTCAGACAGTAAATGAATATTTCCATTCCATTTAGTGCAGCAGTGATCAATTGTAAACACTGTGGGAGAAAAAAAACATGGTGGAAAACATGCATTGATATGAAAGTTCGGAGCATTGATATATATGGTGCAAATATGCAGTATTTTGGGTTTGGTGCAGAGTCTGTGACATGATTTAGAGTTTTTTCAAGAGTTCAGCTATCTTATAGCGGTGGGGATGTTGGAGAATCTGTTGGACCTGCATCCAATGCTGCAAAACCTCTTCCCAGAGGGCAGCAGCGAGAACAGTCCATGGTGGGGGTGTGAGGGGTTATGATGACCCAGTTTATGGGAAAATAGTGTCTTTAGGTATGTTGGGTTTACTGATGGTAGCTATTTATTTTTTTAGTTCCTTATTGAGTCGTCTGTTGGGGCTCATCAAGCTGCTTAAGTCACCAGCCCATTCGAGATCTTAACTCACTCATGAGTCTAGAGTGCTCAAGTCCTGTTGCTACAAGTCTAAATCATCACATTGCCACCACTGTTCTTGAGATATGTTTATTTCAAGAGGATCGAATGTATATGTTTTGTGTGTGATTGACTATGTCAACCTAATGTTAACTTCCCCCTCTGTAGGTGAAGAGACAGCCTGTTGCAGAGTCCTGCCTTTGTCTCCCATTGAGCCCTAATCCCCTCTCTGTCTGTGATGCCGGGCTGTGGGTGAGTCTATGCCCGCAACCAGACTGAAGCTGGGGAAACTAAAGGTGGTGCGGCGGCAGCTGCTGCAAAGGTACAGAACAGCATATGACCAACACTCTGTTTATACACCTCATTTCAAAGTGACCCTGTTCCTTCTTATTAATGCTGATGTCTTTAAGTTGAGGTGACTTTTGTGACACATTAGTGGGATTTTCAACATACAGATAAGAATTATAATCCTCATTGATGTACATTACAAGGATGGATGACCTAAGGTTTGCTGGGGCTGGAGGAAAGTGGTTAGAATGGAAAGATACTGGGCAGCCTACAGAGAGACGATGTCTGACAAAGTTACTCTTCCTGGAAAGAGTCAGTAATCAGGTTGATTCAAATGCTGCAGCAACACTTAATTAATTATTTTTAGGGATGCCGCCAATTACATATCCTGTGAAATAAAAAAGAAAATGGTCCGACGTATTCTATTGACAACATAACATCCCGTGGGGACAAAACTACAGTAATTCGCCATTTGGTGCGCTTTGTTCAGACTGTTACTGCGATAGCTGGCATGAGCTCCAGCCTAACCGTGTTTCCGCCTTATTTTGATTTATGTTAAGTGGGGTAAATGCATAAAATACCACTGGTAAAAGTTTTACCAATATAGACATGTTAGACAACATTGGAAAGCTTAGATTCTGTACAATTTAACCACCCATTTAATTTATGGACACAACGAGCACCAAAGCACAATTAAAACAGATATAGCAGCATGTCAAAATGTAAACAAACAAAGCAGCCACAACTACATACCTTTGAAGGCATCCAGAAGCTGTTTTATAAATCCAATCTTCAATTGTTTTATACTCCATTCGTCCATAAGGGTCCACAGATTAAAAGTAATCCAGCATATTAGTAATAAAAATAATCCATGATGAGAAAATCGTCCATATCGTCCATTTGTTGACATCAGAAAAGTTAGCTGGTCATAGCTTATTCTCAGCATCTTGCTACTATTTACTTCCTAATACTTATTTCCTTGGTTGTTAGCCCGTGACGTTTGGCTTGGTTCTTTACATCGTCTTATCTACAAGAAGAAAGTATCTGCATCTTTTTATGATGTGATTTGAGCAAGATATAATCAGATATAGTCATTATCAGTTTAATAATAATAAAAAAGAACAAAAACTTGACAAGGACAACTTTATTCATGTTCAAATATAAATGACTGACAATAGGGTGAGTAACAGTTTATGCTGCTATAAAAAAAACCTTTTTTGTAAAGGTTTGAACAAGGATGGTAAGGACAGTCATCAGCTATGCTGCACAAGATTGATACAGAAAACAGAACAATGCAAATAAACTAAACTCTCACTGATTTATGACAAGACCTTTTCTATATAAAGGAACTTAAATTTATAAATTCAAAGTTCTCAACATTTTTACCCCACATACTGTCAGACAAAAACTTTTAGGGTTGGTTTGAACATTAGGTATTATAAAATGTTCCTAACCTCTCATATTATTAATGTTCTCTTAAGAGTAAAGAATTATCACTCCTTTTTTTGTAGCAGATTATTTAATACTTTCCATCCATCCATCCATCCATTTTCTTCCGCTTTATCCGGGGCCGGAGGCAGCAGTCTAAGCAGAGATGCGCTGACCTCCCGATCCACAAACACTTCCTCCAGCTGCTCTGGGAGGACTCCGAGGCGACACCAGGCCTTCTCAGAGACATAGTCCCTCCAGTGTGCCCTTCTGAGGCCTCCTCCCTATAGGACATGCCTTGAAAACCCCCCAAGGGAGGCGACCCGGAGGCATCTGAAACAGATACCCGAGTCACCTCATCTGGCTCCTTTTAAAGTGGAGGAGCAACCCCCGAGCTCCTCCTGGGTTATTGAGCTCTTTACCTGAATTTGAAGGGTGCGCCCAGCCACCCTGCCAAGGAAAATCATTTCGGCCGCTTATATTCACAAGCTTGTCCTTTTGGCCATTACACAGATCTCATGCCCATAGGTGAGGGTAAGAACGTAGATCGATGGGTAAATCTCCCTCTTCGCCACGACAGTCTTATACAGCGACCGATCACAGCTGCCGCCGCACTGATCTGTCTATTGATTATTAAATACTTTAAATAGCATAATTACAGTATAATATTTTGCAAGCTAATGAAATGGAAAGAATTTGGAGTGAATGAAAAGATCTTTGGTGTGTTCTAAAAAGCCAACTTTGTGAAGGATCTGTACCGCCCATTTTGCAATAGAAAAACAGGGTTTGTAGTTGTTACCCCTTATCTGGACTGCATAAAGGCTTCTGGATATTTTTGATTTTATGTAACAGATGTGGGCTTTCTATATATGACTGGTTAATGGTTAATATGTCAGATTTAGGTTCAGAGTTTTCAGAGAGGATCAGCCTGACTGTGAAGGGAAGATTAAGGTGATGGCAAGGAGAGCTTCCACCCTCGAAGACTTGGAGCTCAGTGAAAATATAAATGATTAAAAAAAATGCTATAACAGATCTGCAACCAGTGGCTCTCAGTTGGTTTGTTTGCTCTAAAGGCTGTTATCATTGAGGTTATCGCTAAATTCAGCTAAGTCATTTGTTCTTCTTATGTTAAGAACAGAATTTAACATCTTATCATCAAGGTGACTACAGACGTGTTCAATAAATGCGGTTGTTCTTGAAAAGCACATTTTATTGATAAACTCGGTTCATATAGTGGAGCATATTAAATATATAAATTACACACAGATTGATGTTTTCAAACCAGTACACCACGATGTTTAAGTTTATGTTTAAGTTGTTTAAAATAAACATTTTAAGCAACATAAATGTGGTCGTAATTAATTTAAAATATTTCCCACCTGCTTAGAGGTTATTTTTTTAAAATGCACTTTTATCACTGTAAATCTGTAAAATGTTTCACACATCCTGACATGGAATAACAAATCAGTTAAATCTAGAAAAGATATTTTGATGGAGAACAGTGAGTCCCCTGCAGCCCACACATGGTCTCACCAGGAGAATGAGTCACACTGCGCCTCTCTGCACAAACATAACTTCATTACATTTACCTACCTTTTTGAAACATGCATCATTGTCCAATAAAGTGTAATATCTTGTTATAATGAAACACTCTGGGGTGTTTGTTACTCATAAATAGTGAATAATTCCACATCAAACCAGCACTGAATGCTTTCATATTAGATGTTGAATCCATTTTTGGTCACATTCATTTAAACAATTTTGCGCTTAATGTTTAATCTTTAGTTTCCCTCTTCTATATTCATAGATAAGATTTTCTTGCCCTGAAGCAAACCATTGAATCCAATAACAGGAGTTTGCAGTTTCTCTGTGTGACTGTAGAGCTGTTCTTTTGCTTGTTTTTGCAGGATTAGACACAGTAATCATTTTAACTATTTACTTAAACTGTGGGTATAAGTAGGTAGTACGTGGAGAAGCCATGTTGTTATTTTTTGTCTTTGTTTTTATTTTGTTAATCAGTCATTCATATTTAAATACTATATCTTATAATAGGTTTACTTCTAAATATTTATGAAATAATATTAAAGACCAATATTTAAAACAGCATTTAAAAGCAGGGTAAACATTGGACACATCTCTGGTCCATCACAGGGCAACACAGGGAAGAGAACTGCACAAAAACACTCATAAATAAGGGGAATTTAGAATATTTTACTGACCTAAAATTCATATTTTTAAACTAAATGCAACCTCCACACAGACAGTCTCTAGGCCAGATTTTGAACCCAAGAGCATTTTCTCTGCAGTGCTACCTAATGCATCACCATGCAGCCCTTAGTGGTATATATTCAAATGAACGTTAAAAGTTATGCTCATTTTAGACCCCTCAGTCTGAAAATTATCTTACCTGGGACTACATTTCTGCAGGACCAACAAGGAAATAAAAAGTCAGATATTAAACTAATTTACATCTATTTTTCTCTTATAGAAATACTGTAATGTTTCAAGTAGTGCTGCATCTTACTAGAAAAACCTTCAATGATAATGATGAACATTATAATGTCATTTGGACATCTGGAGTAGGATGATGTCTTTCTGCTTTGGATCATAACAAACATAAATACAAACGTTATATATTTTTTAGTATCTCAAAAAGGTTTAATTGAAAAAGTGGTTGATGTTAAGGCAATAAAAAACTGTTATAGTTTATTTATAAAATAATCTAACTACATCTTTACTAAAGCTGTTTAGCCTATAAGTTGGAAAGTTGAATACTTCATTAGTTAGCTAATGTTTGTTGCTGTTGAGGCAGTTACATGTTTCAAATGTGATTAAGATAAATTTGTTATATATCATATATTATTCAGCACTAATTTCAAGCATAGATTTCTTTGGAAGAAAAGTCTAATCATGTTATTTGAACTCATTTATACCACATGTTGGTTTTTCTAATAGTTTTCTTTTGTTTTGTCCTGTTATTTTATTGCACTTTCAGTATTGTTTTTTGTTTTTTATTTTCCATCATCTTTCAAGTTGATATTTGGCTGGTTTGAATTGTTCCAGGTATGAACACCAGCCCTTTGTCTCCTGCCTGGCTGGACTGTATGGCTGCCAGTGGAGGAGATACCAAAGAGCGCGGGCGCAGCCAGGAGAGTGCTGCTGCAGCAAGGTAAACATCCACCCAGCGTCAGCTATACACTCCAACTATGGTTGGTTTGCTGATTGTGCACCGACTATCGATTCTGCAGTCAGTTTTCTCAGTCCTGCCTGCTGACTTTGAGTTGGTCACAGCGTTTTCTATCACCAGATTATTAGCACATACTTTGTCAGCTGTGCAATCCGTTGTATTTACCCTGAATCGGCCAGAGAAACATTTAACTTTCACTTTAATCCTAAAGGCATCTTTCGGTGTGTAAACAGTACATGATTTAATCTACTTTTTTTTATATAAAAGCATAGAATACGTGAATAAATTCCCTGTTGGTTTCAGGTGGAGTGTGGCAGCTTTGGGCTCCTGATCCTCACCTTCTTCCTGAGCTTTGTTTTCCTTTATTTCTGGAGCGAAGCTCAGAATGACTACAATGACTTTGACTGGTAAGTCTCACACAGCATAAAAACCACACAAATTTACACAAAAACATTTTTTGTTTAGTTTTTTATGCAATTTTGTCTTTTTTCCCCGAAACCTTGATACTTGATTTGTATTCCTGAGACTACAGTCCTGGTAACAGTTTTTCATCTCATGTAATGAAACTTGAAAATAACTTTAACTGTTAAAGGTTGAATTTGACTATGAGACACTGAATTTGATGCATTGTTGTAGGATGTAAAATGTTTCATAACAATCAGTTGGTTTTTGTTGTGGCTTCATAATAATGACAATAAAATCACCTCCAACTTTCAATCATTTCGTTAAAAAAAAATGTCTTGCTTTTATACAAGGACACTTCTGGCTGATTATGAAAATAAAGGCTCTTTCTGTTCTAGTGGTTTAGAAATTTATTCGTTAACTACAATTTTTCTCCTTCATACCTTTAATCTTTTGAAGATTTAAAGTTTTGCTTAGAATCTTAAATGAGTTTATAGAAATACAAAAAGATTTTGCTGTTCAAAGTGAGACCAAATTTAGGGCAATATTTGGTAGATATCTAATATGATGGACAGCGTAAAGGCAGGGATAATCAGAGTATAAATTAATTACAAAGGCAAAAATAGACATTTTAATATGAACATGTTTTCGATCAGTCTTGTAGCATTTGTTAGTATAAATTCCTCTCTATTTTCCTAAATGGGTAAATATTAAATTTGATCAATAAAATATTCTAATTGAGCCTGTAGCAGTTCTGTAAATTTAGGTTTATGTCTTAAAGGGAGGGACGAGTTACTCCTGTTGCTGGATCATCTTTTCTTCCACTCAATTTTCCATCAATGTTCTTGAAAATTGCAACAGTTTTCAACCATTTCTAGAACAAAGAAATGTTGCTTTTAAATTTCTGAAATAAGTGTGAGAAATATTACATTTTTGTCTCATTAATAACTTTTTTTTTAACCCTTTGCTACATCCTTGTTGTTTTTCTGTCTGTGCTCCTTAAAAGCCTCCATATCTTTCTCTTGAGCTTCTCTGGCCTAATATGATCATAGATGTATGAAGCTGAATGGATGTCCTGGAAAACTGTGACTTATTTTTCTTCTTGGTCCTTTTTCTACATCTTCAGGTTTAATTTCGGGAACCTTGGCTTCTGGTTCCCCTGGTCTCTGGTCCTGCTGGTTGTTGCTGCGGCGCTCTTCACATACATTGCCCTGTTACTGGTACGAACACTGATTACATGCCCTGTTTATTTGCTTTAAAAGTGGATTCAATCACTCGATAATTTGTAAATTGGGTTCCAACTATGGGTGTACATTCGATGCTCTGCTTGGTGCCAAATATTATGTAAGACCTATTGTATAAGTACAGAGTTGATCACGGCTTGACATTTGATTCAGAAAGTTCACTGAAGAGAAATTTCGCCCGTTTGATAGAAACAGCTCAGTTTAAATGGTCACCAGTTAGGGGAGGTGAAGGTTAAAAAGGTGGAAAAATCCTTTTTGTTTGTCTGTTATGAGAATAGTAACCTGACAAAGACTTGAGATTTGAGCAGTCAGTATCTGTTAGTACAGTTAAATGCTCAAAACAGTTTATGTTTTTTATGACAGACATATGATCATAATCTGCTCATTAATTATACCAACTCTTCCTTCCTTCCTTCCTTCCTTCCTTCCTTCCTTCCTTCCTTCCTTCCTTCCTTCCTTCCTTCCT